CTATACGACGTTCACTAAAATAGCTCAGTTTCAGAATTTTAAGCTTTATTCATTTGTGAAAGATTTTTCTCAAGTATATTCTTGTTACATATAATTGTGTATCAAAAATAAAAAAAGGTAAACGAGTGGCAAGTAGAGCTGATACAGTGGTCTCCTAATCTTTAATAACTGAGAATTAAAGAAAGATGTTTAAAGTTGATAGAACACTTTAGAGACGTCTATGTGTATTTAATAATCCAAAAATGGCCAAAATAAAACTGTTCAAACATTGTATTAGGATCTCAAAAGTAAGCATCGATATGTTATTTTATAAAATAATATAATAAATTCTATTAAAAAGAAGCTGCAACAAAGTATAGAAAATGTTAAATGTAGTCCTCTTACTGTGAGTTTACAATTTAGTAACATTGATATGTAAAGTAGAAACAATTCATAAAATAAGTTTTGTTTGTCAAACCCATGAAAATTACCATAAGGGAGAAATCACTGCATCTCTCTATATTAAATATGTGTAGATATATATATATGTATGAATAGGCAGATAGATGATAGATAGATAGATAGATAGATAGATAGATAGATAGATAGATAGATAGATAGATAGATGTAATAGATTATTGTATCAGGACGGCAATGAGTTTTTGCACATATTTTACTCTATACACCTTCAAGGAGCACCATATATAGAACTTGAGCAACCACGTGCAGGTACCTATTTTGGAACATAGGCTAATATTGTTTTATGTTGACTACCTGCACTGGTGGTGACCCTGCGATGCTGGGAAAATAAAACCAAAGATAATTTGTTTCTGTAAGAAAATCGTGGTGGTATTTCAAAAAAGTTTGATACAATGAAAAGAATTCCTTGAAGATTTATTTGCTGTACTTAAGAAAATATTAGGGGCCAGCCCTGTGGATTAGTGGTTAAGTGCGAGTGCTCCGCTACTGGCGGCCTGGGGTTCGGATCCTGGGCACGCACTGATGCACCACTTCTCTGGCCATGCTGAGGCTGTTTCCCACATACAGCGACTAGAAGGATGTGCATCTATGACATACAACTATCTATTGGGACTTTGGGGGAAAAAACAAGGAGGAGGATTGGCAATAGATGTCAGCTCAGAGCCGGTCTTCCTCAGCAAAAAGAGGAGGATTAGCATGGATGTTAGCTCAGGGCTGATCTTCCTCACCAAAAAAAAAAACAAAAGAAAATATTACTGTGAGACATGTTTTTTCTCACTTTTGCAGATCCCACTAAAGGCATGAAGCTGCTTAAATATGAATGATATGGATGACTTTCAAAAATGTGCCTTCTTTCTAAGACAGTAGCATTAAGAGTAAAGACAATGCATTTTTTAATGTTGTTACATTACAATGTCGTTAATATTGCCACACAATTTAAATGCATGTATCATAATTAATTTAATGAAATGATTAATGATTTTATCAGCATTTCTACAGACTAAACTTGGGAACAAAAAATGTGCAAACTTCAGAAAAAGTTTAGAACTCTTTTTCTAGATATTTATTTGTTTTTTTCTATTTTTTTCCTGTATATCTCTTAGCTGGTTTTTTGTCTTTCTCTCTCTCTTGACCATTTCGTTATCCAGTCTTTTTTATTTTCTACTGCATCACTCGAATTCTCCTTTTTTAAAGCCATTTCTCCAAATATTCACCAAATATTTGTCAATATATATATAACACAGTTGGTAGAAAAATTAGAGTTTCCATCACAGGTGGAAACAATTTAGGGATTTAAATAAAGAAAAATCTTTAAAGTTTTAATCACTGTTAACTAGATAAAAGTGGAAGGAACCTACTGGTTTAACAGTCTCATTTCACAGATGAGTAACCATAGCTCAAAGAGGTAATCATTTACTCAAGGACACAGAGGTCGTCTTTCTCAGAACCTGTGCTGGAGTCCAGTTGCACTGAATGCCATTGACTCTCCATGGTATTCTTGATCCACCAGCTAACCTTGGATACACAGTGTTCTGCTGAATACTTCCACTTCGAAGAGTGACTTCCTACCTCTACCCCGGTAACCTCAGCGTGTCATCTTGTGTTTGCGGAATATTTAGCAACAGGCAGACAGGGAAAGCACCAAGTTTCTGATGAGAAATTGAAAGATAAGATACTACGCTTCTTGTCTGAATAAATAAAATGCACTAAATTTTGAAGCAAGTTAATTTTGGCAACTTAGTTTCTAAATACTGTTACCCACTAAAAGGAACCAGGACCCATTGGAGATGTGGCTGATTCTGTTACCAATTTCATCTCACTCCAGTGGGACTCCAACCCACATTCAGAGGAGCTCTGAGGAGGGGCTCATGGGAGGGCCTTGTACTCACAATCTGTCCTTTCCTCAGAGGGTTCTTTTCTGTTCCATGTCAAGGATTTGAAATGAAACTGAAGCTAAGCATTCAACAGCACAAGCTTTTATTCAAGGGCAAAAGAATGGAGAGGTGGAAACTTTGTTCACAAATCGACTTAGCTCTTACAGTGAGTAAGCAGCTGTTATAAGGGGTTGAGGTAATGAAGGGGAGGGATCTTCATAGTATTCGGGGGAACAGGGCAGGCTTTTCAGGGGAACAAGGATGCTACCTCTGTTCTTTCCTTATTTAGTCATATCCTGCTGTTGCCACGGCAATTGTAAACTGTCATGGCGCTGGTGGGTGTGTTATGTGGCATGGTGATGCATTACAGTGAGTGTATAATGAGCTGCAGGGTCTATGGCAGGTCAAGTGAGACTGCCGTGTTGCCGTCACCTGGTGTTAACTGGTTTCAGCTGTGTGTCTCAGCCATTTCCTCCCTCTGTTTGTGGTTTCCTGTCAGCTAACGAGAACGTGTGAGGCTTGTTCTGAGCAGGTTGTGGGGCCAGGGGCAGGGGTAACAATTTGAGTTTTGAGGCAGGGAAAGTATGAATTAAACCTGGGATACTTTTTGTGCCACAAAACATCAGAATTGTTCAAAGGCTAATGGACAACGTGAGCCATGTTGTGGGTTACCACTGGTCAAAATGAGTTTGTCACGCTTCTAAAATACAATTGTTAGGCTGACAGTCACCATCACCCCACAAAATGAAGAGAGCTCATTCTGGAGATGGAGAAGACAATAAAATATTTATACCTGAACCAAAGCCTATAAGTCATGAACCCTGTTCAACCACCCGACATTTCAGGTGTGAAGTCAATAAAAGTCTCCTTTTATTTATTTATTTTGCAAATATTAGTCATGTCTAAGCCCCTTGTAATTTAAAGAGACAATGGCCTAACGGGTAACTGAAAGAATGTTGTAATTCAAGCTCTTTTGAGAAGACTCTATTTTCTAGAGGTTTAAACTTAAATACTGAAGATGTGGAATCATTTTGATAACATAATTTTTTTTTAAGAAAGCATAACAGAAGACTCTATTTTCATACCCTCCCACTGGAAAAAGAGTTAGAAAACTGTACAAAATATATTTCCAGAAAACTGGAAAACAGGCAGCACATGTCTGTTTTGGTCGAGAAAAGGGGGGGAAAAATCCAAATCCCAAAGTCCCATCTATGACTACCCCAGCTCTCTGCTAGAACGTACTTTCCAAACTGGGTGCAGGGAGGGAGAAGCCATGCAGAGCCCACTGGTCTCCCTGAATTGAGAATAGCAAGATCAGAGTTTTGGAGACCATGATGGCTAGAATTTACAGGCCAGAGTAATGGTAACAAGTTCTAAGCCACTGACAGATAAACATAACTCATACAAGTATGAAATGTTTAATACATATAAATTGATTGTTATTGAATCATATATACAAATTTAATATTAACACATAAGGATAAATATAGAAAACTGTCCTAGTTATAAGATATTTTAACTAATATTGAACTCATTTGCCCTTTAATGCTCTAGTTTTGTAATCATTTATTTTCAACTAATGTGATAATTTTAATGTCAACAATAAATTGGCTTAATTTAACATAAAAATACTGTCTTCAAAGTGTTTATATTCTTGTCCAATATTTCTTCTTTTTACATGCATTTTATTTGTGTAGATAGGCAAACTGCTATTTGTACATCAATTCAGACACAATTGGAACTAAAACACAAATGCATAACGATAAAAGCAAGTGGTGAAACCTATATTTAATTTCTGGCAATAGATTTGTTTCTTTCTTTCTTTTTTTTTTTTTTTTTTGCTTGAGGAAGATTTTCCCTAAGCTAACACGTGTTGCCAATCTTCCTCTATTTCGTATGTGTGTCACCACCACAGCGTGGCCACTGACGAGTGGTGTAGGCCCGTGCCTGGGAATCGAACTCGAACCACTGAAGCGGAGCATGCTGAACTTAATTTAATATAGGACTAGACTCTAGATTTATTTCTTCCAAAAAAATTGCAACACATACCAGGATCTGAGAGGACAGTATTTTACTTACTGGTCAGGCTGCATCTGGGATGAGATAACCAGCCACCTTCTGAACATGAAATGGTGTTCTCATTATTTGGAAGGCTGTAGCCCATATCACAGACAATTTGTACAGTGTCACCTTACAGATGTGTTTGTCCTGAAGAAGCAGAATAATCATTTTCCACAAAAGGAAAGAAACACAGTCCTAAGGACCAAAAATTGCTTAATGTACAAGATGGAAGTAGTAAAAAAGAATAGTAAGATATATTTCCATTTTACAATATTTAAAAAAGAACAGCAAATTTTCAAAACTGAAATCAAGTATGAAAATGAAGTTTCAGAAGAATTTAGATCATGCTACTATATATGAGATGAAATATATATTTTTCATATATATTTAATATATGAAAGTAAGTTAACATTTCATTCTGTTCTATGTTTTTATAATAAAAGATTTTATTTTTATAAACTTTTCTCGGTACAAAACAATATCCTAATATAGCTATTTCTCTCTTAATTCTCATAACTGTTTCTTACAAAAGGAGAAAGACCATTCTATCTCTTTTGTTGGCTTGTCTATTCTGCCTCCCATTGTTTTTCTCTTTTAATAGACTTGTTATCTCCTGAGTCTGCTCTTCACATTCATTGAAGGATTAATAGAGATATAATTTTAAGGACAAAAGAAGCGATTTATGGAAAATATAAAGGTGAAAATGCTAAAACTTACATGATCTTTGCAATGTTGAAGAGAACAGTAAATTTCAAAACAGAATGTGTATATATAAATACTTTTTTTAAAAGGAAAAATATGACCAGGCTGATACCAAAAAAATATTAGGAAACGTATATCAGTAGTCAAATGTATTAATCATCACCTTTTTAAAATTAAAATATGTAGAGCACTTCTAGATAATACAAGAAAATTCACATGTTTATTCTTCATTGGGTTTCCACAAATGCTTCTCAGGAAGGACTACATCTCTCACCTTTGCTGGCTCTTTAGTCCTGCTCCTGTGATCCCATCTGGCACATCCTTGTCTGTTCACTGGGTGATTCATCCACATCTAATGATCAGGCATTTACTCACTGAGACACTTCGGTGTTGGTCACCATCTTTCTTCTGTGCATGTTATGCAAGTCCAAAAGGATTTTGAAGGAGACACAAAATTATATTCACAGGAATAATAGAAAAATTTCCCAATAGGAACTAGGAAAAATGGCTTATATTTCTTTTCATCATATAGAGTTCCACGGTTTATTCTTGGAAAGTCACAATGTTCCACTGGGAAAAATAAAACAGAAGAATTAATTTAATCTATATTAATGAATCATTAAATCATATTTTAATCATCTCATTTATTTTTTTGTTTGTGTGTGTGTGTGTGTGTGTGTGTGTGTGTGTGTGAAGAAGATCAGCCTTGTGCTAACATCTGCCAATACTCCTCTTTTTGCTGAGGAAGACTGGCCCTGGGCTAACATCTGTGCCCATCTTCCTCCACTTTATATGGGACGCTGCCACAGCACGGCTTGCCAAGCGATGCATGTGTGCGCGCCCAGGATCCGAACCGGCAAACCCTGGGCGGCCGCAGCGGAGCGTGCACACGTAACTGCTTTCGCCACCGGGCTGGCCCCTCATTGATATTTTTTTATCTAGCTTAAAATCCTGTAGCTTAAATGCCTTCCAGTGTACTAATTAGTCAAGTACAAAGACAGACCTCTAATTAAGAGTAAAAGATTTGAGGAACCCATTGTCAATGAATATGAAATTTACGTTTTGGAGTTTTGTGAATTAAAATTTCCTTGGCAGTATCTTCAAGAAGAAAACCGCACACAACAAAGTTAAGAACCAAGGCAGAGTGCAACAGTAGCAGACCTCACTGGTCACACAGTGTGCAGGTGGTGGGATGACAGGGTTGTGCTAGGCTCCCCATACGCTTCCTTTCTCTATTCTGACTAATAGTCACAGATATCTCCACCTGAAATCTCTGTCTTGTCTGTTTTTTCCTGGTATGGTGAAGATGAAGTAGTTTTGTTTTCTTCTTATTTGGAAAAAAAAAAAAACTTACAGAAATTCAGCTCACAAATCAGTTAACCAGGGAAATTCCCTTTTTTCATTTACCTAGAGGTAATTTTCACTGTTGCACAATATTTGAAACTAGTAATTCTTGTGTTTAACCTGTGAAACCTGAAGTAGTTTATCTGTTTAAAATTTGACATTAGATAATTTTGGAGAAGATATTGGGGAAAAACCCCCTCGGCGGGGGGTCTCTGACAGTAGCACCTCCCATAATTCTTTTTCAGATATCCTTTGCCCTCCCCTCAAGTAATAGTATTTGATTTCCAAGCATTTCTGTCTAAATATTCTTTGCTATCCAGAATAACTTTACTTTCCTGTTCTTTCCATTCTTCAAAACTCATTCTACAACATTTAGCAAATATTCGTTGTGCACATCAGCAACCGTGCTGGCTCTGAATGTTGACTTCTCTTTGCAGGTCCCCCTTACCCAATCACCCACTCCAAAACAGAAAATAATTTCTCTTGTCTCTACATTCTGATAAAACCTTATGAATATATATTTCCGATGGGATGGATACATGTATGCACGCGTGCGCACACGCGCGCACACACACACACACAGTCTTGCAATCTATTTACTTGTTTCTATGTTTTGGTTTCCTCTTAGGACAGACACAATAAATTGTAATGAGGCATGGAGTTTTCATTTTGTTTTGAGCTTCTTTGCTGCAGCATGAGGCATAATACAGTACTTGATAAATATTTTAATACTGAAAGCATGAAGAGTTTTCTATTTATATGAAAGTGTTACTTTAGTGTATTGCTTTTGCTTTTTGGCCAGCCTCTGAATAGCCAGCTAAACATAAGTGTGATGCAAACTTACAGGTAGTTTAACATCTACACAACTTTGGGATAGAGCTTCACTAAAGGCTCTCCAGGAGACTAGATTGAAGCTTAAATATCTTTTTCTGTGTTAGGGGTTGTCAAACTTCTACACATTACTATCATATTTTACATATATCTCCCTCTGCTTTTTCCCCATTTAGAAAGCCTCCCTTAATGCCATATCTAACAGGTGTTTAAAACGCTTAATATATACCAGATGCAAAGGTAAAAAAAAAAAAATCAAATACGCTGATTCACACAGTTCTTCAGTGAGGTCACTACAAAGATCTAGCCTTCACCATAGGCTAACCAGAGAGGTTAGTATTTTTAATTAAGACTAAGAAATGTCTGTTATTGGAGAAAAAGTTCTTTTCCCCCGTCAGCTAGCTGCTCTCCTGTGATTATAACTCAATGCTAGAAGTAGAAACAAACTAAAATGAGTTTCAAGTCCATAAAAATAAAGTTTTGCAACTTTTATAAGAGTAGATCTTAAAAGGAAAGCATTTTTATTGTTCCTATTTTTTTCTTGTGTTAGGACTGAAGAGAAACTGCCCAAATAAAACTTCCGTTACACGCAAAATATAGCAACAAAATAGGAAAATAAATACTTCCTGGAAATCAAACAGTAAAACACATGACTGAAACTTCATTTACACACATAGCTTAATCAGTTGTCCTAGACCTTGTTAGAAGTTTCATTTGCAATTCCTTGGATATGATGGTTTTTATTTCAATCCGAAATAAGATGGGACAGTTTTTAAAATATTATAAGACATAGTTTATAGTGCTAACAAAGAAGTAATGTACAGTTTCCTTTCACTTTCAACATGTATTGAAAGTTCAGAAAAAGCAAATAATTTGTTGGTATTTCATTGGTTTTATCACATACAAAAATAAGGATACACTCTACTGTTTTATTAAAAGAGATTTCTTTTTGTTAAATGTTAGATTGAGATAGGAAATTTCTTGTTTTAATGATATTTAAATCTTAAACTAACAAATCTATGAAAACATAAACATTTTGAAGTTGTCATATTTTCTTGGGATGCTTTTCCTGGTCAGTGGCATTGCAAAATTTATGCAGAACTACACTGGTACTTCACCCTTGCAACTATTATCTGCAAGTTGTTCATCATTTAAGTCCTCTCCAAATTCTGTATTTTGTGGCTATTCACACTTTAGAACTTAAAGAACAGAGGAAATACATTTCATTCTATTTTTCCTTAATTGCGTATTAGAAAATATTTTCAAAAAATAGATTAAAATTATGAACCTTTATTCATAATGTTATCACCTATTTATTCACTTAAAAATATACTTACACACACACGCAAAACAAACACACACATTTGAGAAAGGAACTAAATATTCAGATCTGTTTTCCTGTTTTCAACTTACCTTGTCCCCCAACAGTAGAAATCCGTAAGATTAGAAGGACATGAATTAAGAGCAACATACTAGATTATCCCAATTGCACATAGCTAAAAATGGCCCAACAATGGTGGTGTTGCTCTGAATCTTGCTTTAATTTACAGTTATAAGTATGACATTGAATTTCAGTCCACTAGCGGGAAGCTAGTTTAGTGAATTCCTTCTAGTAAATATCAAAGTTCACAGAGGTAGTGTGAATAGTTAAATAATATCTTATCAGTTCTTTCACATTAATACTCTGAATTCATCACTTGATATTTGAGTAAAATAGTCGCTGTTCAACTTCTTTGTTGTTGCAGATATTAAGTTTCTGAGTTTGAAGCATTCAGAAATGGACCACTGAGGAGGAGAGGTGAAGCCCCTTCTTGTCTTCTTGCTAGCCGGGAGGTCAGCTGTTTCAGAACGCAATCAAGTTAAATCATAGTGCTTATTTTAATATTCCATCAATCTCATAGTTTTTATAAATTCCTCTTAAACTGGCACTAAGAATTAGGTTCCCTCTCAATAGTTTTCATATTTTTGTAGATATTTTGAAAATCTAGTCAAGAGTAATTTTACCATATAATGCTTCCTGAAATTTTTGAACAAACTATATTTCAAAATAATTTTATTTAGGTGGGACTTTAAGAATGGCTATGTGAGGAGCTTGGTGCGTTCTCTCTCCAAAAGACAGAAATAAGACTGGATAAAATTATAAAAAATAGCCATTTAAGATTTCTAGAAATTGGCCAAAGAGCACATTGCTGAAAAATATTTATTCAAGGAAGCCTCCATAAATCTTAGTAAAAAGAGTGGCTGCTCCCATCCTCCTCTCTCCCCATGCCCAATTCTCTGGCTTAGAAGTTTTACCCTGGGTGGGTAGGCGGGCCATGTGGACTGGCAGCCCTGCTGCCCTGCTGGAGGGGAATGAATTTACAGCAGAGCTTGAAAAAATCCACACCCAATGACACTGTTAAATGCAATAGAGATTACAGCGGGAAACAATCTAGGAAGCCTAACATCTCTAGATAATACTAGTTGGGGCAAGTAACAAAATGGCAGACCAGCCAGAAATTTAACAGGGAAATTTGGAGAAAAAGACAGCCAAAAAGGGCCCCACTAAGATAACACTTATTGCTGGTAGTCCAGAAGTCAATGGACACGCACACGACTCTGCCCAGTCAGAGAAACCAGAGAGGGCCCTGTGAGCTACTAGTTCCTGACTAAATGTGGAGCAGACGTGTCAACTCCCTGAACTTTGAAAGCATTTTCCAAACCACACACAGTTCCAGAGACAAAAGGTGGGATGTTTACTGGGTCAGTGTGTTTAAGTCCATCCTCTGACCAATTATTGGTTGACTACTAAGCTATGTTGATTCAGGGATGATTCCTAGGAAGTCAGACTAAAAAATAAAAACAAGAAATAAAATCTGAACAATGACATCAAAATATATACACTGCAAGAGAATCAAACTCCACAGAATTAGTCCAGGCTAGTGAGTAAACAAATAAACAAACAAAAGTTAGCAATAGCAACAAGCCCTTGGTTGGGGAGAATTCAGAATTGTTACAATATATTATCTAAAATATACAGTTTACAACAAAAAGAATATGATGATACATGGAAAGAAATAGGAAAGTCTATCCCATACACAGGCAGGAAAAACAGACAATAGAAATTTTCTTTGAGGGAGCCCAGATTTTGGAATGTCAAATAGCTATTATAAATATGTTCAAAGAACTAAAGGAACGATGTCTGAAGAACTAAATAAAAGTGTTATGACAATGACTCATCAAATGAAAATGTCAATAAAGAGAAATTATCAAATGGAACCAAAAGGAAATTCTGAAGTTGAAAAACAAAAATAACCAAAATAAAAAATCCACTAGAGGGACACAGCAGCAGATTTGAACTGGTAGAAGAAAAAGAATCAACAAACTGGAAGGTAGATCTATAAAAATTATCCAGTCTGAAAATAATTTTATTCAATATTTTCTAACAACTATTGCACACTGAAGAAAATCAAGGAAACGTTAGATCTCAAGATCAATGCTTAGAGGGTTTTATAATTCATGTTTTATTGCCTTCTTTTTAATCATTATTACATTTTTATAATGTAATATGAATATTACATATTTCATTTTTACATAACAACATATTTCTAAAATGTAATGAATGTTAAATAGAAAAAATAGAAAGTATAGACAAATATAAAGTCATCAAATCAGTATTATCTCCAAACTCTGAATAGTCATTGTAAACATTATATTCTACATCCTGCCGATGTTTTTATATAAATGTTTACATAAAACCAAGGATATTCTGCATACTTAAAATAGTGTAATGATGTCATTATTTTCACTTATTTACTATCTAAATTTGTTTGATTTTTTGTTTTAACTAATGATAATCTAAACTCCTCTCTAGAATTTGTTTTAATTTGTAAGGGTACTATACAATTTGTAAAGGGTCATACATTTCACCACTATTGGTATATTCACCTGTTGATATGTAGGCTAATATTAGGGACTGAAAAAAAAGATTGGTATCTTGGCACAAGCGCAAGGGATGATTTAGTATGTTTTTACATGTTTGTGAAGGGATATTAATTTGAGGATTGAGATTATCATATTTTCTGCAATTATTCTGAAATAGGGAGTCACAGAAAGCCACTGTAGTTATCTCAGGAAATGAGAAGGCTATGAAAGTGATAGGTGGAAGCAGACGCCTATATGTGAGGTCATCTAATTTCTTGTCATCGTGTTTTATGACTAGGATACATATAGCATGATGCTTTGCCCAGTTTTGATTTATTACTTCAAATAATGAGGCATTCACTTAATATTTTATATTAATTCTGAATTATGATGAAGATGAGTTCAACTGCATTTATAAAAATAAATAAAAGAGACAAAATTATATTAACAAAGTGTTAAGAAAATAAATGTACATATTTTGATTATATTCATTAATGATAAACATGTCTAATTGTTTTTACATCTGGGATATTCCAGCTTCCCTTCCCAACATGTTGCTCAAAATGGTTGTCTTGATGTCTCTGCATTATATCCCTGATTACATACAAATTCAATAATATCTCCTGTTTTTGCATAAAGTTTTCTTTCAAGTCTCCGTCTGAATTGTATGTTATTTTTATTCATATTTTCTTCAGATATTACACACGCATCCAAGAGAAAAAACAAGCAGCATAGAAGAAACTAATCATCTTTTTTTTTTTTTTTCTCAATAGCAATTTTTTTTTTTTAATTTTTTGTTTATTGCAGTAACATTGGTTTATAACATTGTAAAAATTTCAGGTGTACATCATTGTACTTCTATTTCTGCATGGACTACATGATGTTCACCTCCAAAATACTAATTACAACCCATCACCACACACATGTACCGAATTATCCCTTTCACCCTCCTCCCTCCCCCCTTCCCCTCTGGTAACCACCAATCCAATCTCTGTCCCTATGTGTTTGTTTATTGTTGTTATTATCTACTACTTAATGAAGGAAATCATACGGTAGAAACTAATCATCTTAACATTCTCTTTCATAGACTAATGAAATTTTAAGTAATGAATATTTTAGGATTAAATCATATAAATAATAGTAATCTCTAATATTTAATTAGCAGTTCTAGAACTTGTCCTCACAATTTTTATCTTTTTTTTTTTTGCTTTTTTTTGTTTTTTTTTGAGGAGGACCAGCTCTGAGCTAACATCTATTGCCAATCCTCCTCCTTGTTGTCCCCAAAGCCCCAGTAGATAGTTGTATGTTATAGCTGCACATCCTTCTAGTTGCTGTATGTGGGCCGTGGCCTCAGCATGACCGGAGAAGTGGTGCGTAGGTGCGCGCCCGGGATCCGAACCCGGGCCGCCAGCGGCGGAGCGTGCGCGCTTAACCGCTAAGCCATGGGGCCGGCCCACAATTTTTATCTTTTAAACCCAAAACTCTTTCTTCAAAGTGGGTATAATTATCTCAAGGTTACCAGTGATGAGCGTGAGACAAAGAGAAATTAAGTAAAACTTTCCCAAGGTGACATTTCACACGTGCAGGAGTTGATTGTGAGCCTGGCAGTGTTAAGCCAGAGCTGTGATCTGCCTGCCTATTTCACAGTGGCCATATTGTACACTACATATTAAGATTCTGTTAAACAATCATATTTGGGTCATGGATATTCACCATTCTTGCTCCATTATGAAAACTTTCAAACTAAGGGTCACTATGAACATTTTAAGTTTGTTTATATTTTATTATGGTTAAAATATTTATGAATATCCTACTCTTAGAATCATACCGCTGAAATAGTATTGTTAAGAGTCCTAAACTTTTAACAGCCAGTATTTTATTTAAAATATACTTTTTCTAGTTTATCCTCTGGCCAGAAGACCCTTAGATCTATTATGCAACTATAATATATAATATAGATATTTTATATGCAGCGTTATATCTTCCAAAGACCCTCAGGAAAGTACCACATAACTCAGGAAAATCCAGGCACTGAGTTAGAGTCTATGGTATGATCTTCATTCCTCTCAACCTTTCTGTAGGAATGAGAGGTGACATAAATTAATGGGTAAGCACATGGACTAGATCTGAATCTTACTTGACCATGTGCTAGCTATGTGATATTAAATAAGTTATTTAATATCTGTGTGCCCAATACACTCAGCTGTGGTATCAGGATATTATTACCTTCAGTAGACACAGGTAGTTTCCAGATGCTTTGATGTAACAACAAACATCTTTTCCACAAAATTTCATTAGGTGAGTATAATTACAGGTTAACTTCCCAGAGTAGAATTTTAAAAGAAGATAATATATGCCTTTTAAATTTTTGTATATATTCCCAGATTACCTTCCCAAGGAGTTATCCCATTTATTAAACCACCAAGTGTATGGAATTGCCTATTTCCTCATCTTCACCCAAACTATATATTATAAAAATTTTTCCCTTTTTGCCAGTATGATGGTAGAAACTTGGCCTCTTAATACATTTATATTTAGTACAGCTGTTTAGTGGAGGCCATGTGTTTA